TAAACAAAAAAAACCCAAACAAAACGGCCTATTTCAGGGCCAAAACATCCTCCAAGAAGGGATATACCGTAAAAATATGACACATAATCACACACATTATTTGTCTCAATAAACATATTTTTTTAGCAAGCCTTTGCCCTGAAAGAGAGATAAAAGTAAATGATTAGTACTTGAGTAAGTGTGAACAGCAGTGATTAACGCAAGCTAGCTCCTCCCCTTCTTTGAAAACTCAACCACCCATTCCCGCAGCCACCTCCCTCACACCTAAATGGTATTAGGTAATTCTACCATTTTGTTGGTGCAAGCCGGGTCAAAAAATCAAAGTGTTGTTGTAAATCATGGAGCGCCAATATGGAAATATTTAAGAGATGTTCATTAGAGATTCAGTTAGCACTATAGTTTATTAATTAAGCACTTTCAAGTTTTATATTATAGTTCATTAATTAAGCACTTTCAAGTTTTATATATCTCAACATTATAGTTCATTAATTAAGCACTTTCTAGTTTTATATATCATATCATACCAGTTCAGTTAAGCACCTTCAAGTTATATAAGGCATATTTATTTATTTATTTTTGTCGTTATACCGAACAGCACTAATTTATTTAAATTTCGACCATACTTTTAAATTGAAATAGAAACACAACATTGTATATAATTAATATAGTATTAGGGCCAGAATTAGACTAATTTATTTTAAATTTCGACCATACTTTTAAATTGAAATAGAAACACAACATTGTATATAATTAATATAGTATTAGGGCCAGAATTACACTAATTTATTTTAAATTTCGACCATACTTTTAAATTGAAATAGAAACACAACATTGTATATACCGTAATTAATATAGTATTAGGGCCTGATTTAACTTAGGTGTCCTGGTGTGATTGGAAGTATAATAACATTTTGCAAAATATCCCGTAGACGGGTTGATTCATATTGCTCTGGTGTTTCGATTTTCACAGGATTTAACCCGTTTTAGTTCGAATAAAGGAAATGTAAGTCGATCGATAGTTTCTACCGATATCATGCTTGAGTTGTGTGAAGCGGATCAAAATATAATTTGGAAAATCGTGTTATTTTCGGGAAGTTTCGATGTCATGGTGTCAACGCTTTCCTACCTTGTGTTATTATATGAGTAGTAGGGGAATTTACCGGCGACTGACTAACTATGCCGATCCCACTTTAGATCATTTTTTATTAGCCAAGAAACGTTCCGAGCGCCTGTGGCAGCAGATAGTGTCTGTGAGTTCGTTATCTACTGCCTCCAAAACAAAGTAATAAATGTAACTCGAACTGTAGGTGGCGCTATACCGTCAGCTAACAAAAGGCACATTTAAGTGAAATATAAGATAGGGCTATAGAGCCTAAAATAACATTTCGGTGACAATGACTAAGTAAAAATAATAAAGCAGAACTTTGGCCATAACAAGCTGCATCTACACAGCAGCAGATCCAGTTACGATATTTATTGTAATATTTTTAGAATTTTTCTTTTAAGACAGAAGAACCAAACTTGAAATGAGTTTTTGCACAAAATTATTAACGACTGTCCTGCTATTTTAAATAAGACATGTTTTTTTCTGTCATGTCGGGCATCATATACATAGAAGACTTAGAATTATATTCTAGGCAGTACATTTTAGGGAAAGCTCAGTTATTCCTATAATAGTTCGAGTAAATCTGATATAAGATATGTCAGTGGGTATGTCCGTTGACCGGTGTATTGAATGGAAATGAAAATAGAAAAAAAAAATATTTAGAATATGACGTCATTATTGCGTACTTTCCCCACTGAGAACAATATGGTAGTGTTTTACCATGCTTCATTGTATTTTGCTATCTACGGTAATAATTTATCTCTTCACTATGTATGTGGTGTACAACACCCGGTACCGAATCCCGTGCGTACCACTGGCTTACCAACCGTGAAGCTCAACTACGATTGCTATAGCCATTGGCCCTTCACGGCTATTACATTGCGAAATGATAACGTCTTCTTCAACGTCTTTCAATTTAAAAGTCTGTTTTAAGCTTTACGGCTCCACTTAACAGTGAATATATTGGCCTGGATTGGATTACTTCTAAACTGCCTCATGAACGAAATCTACGTGCCGATTATATTTCAGTGTCAGTGATTAATTGGCGAGGACAATACGCGAATGTGAGTCACTACCAGACCGAACAATGAATGTAAAAACAAACAAACTGCTATTGCCCCACACTCACCTATTCATTACATTGCTTCAAGGCAATGTATTATAGTAAACGTATTAACAATACTCAGTGACGTACACTTTCCATTTAATATTGATGTATATACCTAGTTGCCATGGAGAGATTCACATAGTTGGCCGCCATTTTGGATGATAACCGTCCTTACAAGCGACGATTTCGACAGGTGTGATAACGTCGCTACATCAGTTGAACAGAGATTTACGATATTTTACAGATACTAGTAATTAAGTAAGTGTTATCATCTAAATAGTCACCATTATGATTACAACGCTATCTCATTGTTGAATTATTCGATACATATTCTGCACTCCGAGTCGGGAAACACAGGCCCAATGAACAATTTTGTATCGGAACCAAAAACAAAACCCGGTGTTATTTTTTTGGAACACGGGTTTAATTAAATTACATTCATTGAAACGTTTTTACAAAAGTGATTTTGAAAACGTAGGGGGAGTTACCATGGACACGGCATTACTGACGAGTTCTTGGTTATTACACACTGCCAATCTTCAAGTTAGGGTTGGACCATTAGAAACACAGAAGGGTATGTCAGAAAAATAATTTGTTCTTTACTTAGTTTTGTGTTATTTTTACATGATAAATTTGCTGTAACTTTTTCCCTCTGTGTCAAATATTTCTTTCTCCACGATATAGGCCCACCCCAAATGACAGCTTTAAACGCATACACGATACGTTGTCGGTTTCACACTTGACCTAAATGCATTCACAATGCAGTGGACTAGTTTCCACTAAACATAATTGCACTTTTGCTGACAACCTTTGTCCATGTGAACGCAAGCAATAACACATTTGTACAGCCGTCAATGGAAGCAGGGTTCAACGGTCACCACGCACCAAACGAGTATAAAATAAACACTACACTTGTACCTGCCCATGTGATTTTGGGGTTAAATGTCACACGAATTGACAGGCATTCACCGCTATTGTTAGAGGATCTTCTGGCATTTCAACAACATTTAGGCAACTTTCGGTGAAAAACGCCAGTTTTGAGCCAAATGCACCTTCAATGTCGATCCTTTGGGGGGTCCAAGTTTTTAACTGGCTGCGGAGCACTCTCATCCAAAGTTCATGTTAGTACCCCTCTCACCCGGCTAATATTCTACTAATATAAACCGCTAAATAGAACAAATACTAGTATTACCGCACCATGGAGAATCAAAGCTGAAAGCCGTGGTACACGTTAGTGGAAGACAGTGATCATTGTTTCTACTGTTGCGAACGTGAATGAGATATATTTAAATTAGAATATAGCACAGGACATATTACGTAACAACAACGGAGTAAAATGTAACACGTGGAATAACTTAAGCGACCTATTAACGGTGCCCGTTTGATTGAACTTATCCATGATACAGTATTTAAAATGACGGTAATGAAAACAAGTTTATATTACATAACATTACATTACATTAAATTACATTACATTACAGTGAAGTTCGTTATTATTGAATACTACGATGAAGACTTTCCTGTGCAATTGTTTTCAAGTTGTTTGTTTGAAAAAACCTGAAGTCAACTTATTTTAACAAGAAAATTCAGAAATATATTACAAACAATTCATAAAAATGCACACCAATAATAATTATTCACAATTACACGTGACTATTGAAAACAAAATAAAATTGCTATATTCTCTATATTTTTGCATTTCTTTTGTTTTGAAATATGACTGAATGCAGCTAAATGAAATCACTAAATACTCATATATATATATATAAACAATAACTTTAATAAATATGATTTTATTTGGTAAAAATACTGTACTTCCCTCCATAAAAACGAAAATATCGAAAACGTAAGTCTTGTAGTGTTCAATGGTACGTCATGTTTGTCAATAAATATTTATTTCAACTTCAATGTTTATTTCATTCAATTCAAGAGCGCCTAAAAGTGATGAGCGGAATGCTGGTACATTTAGTGGCACTAGTTTACACTAGTTTACTCGTCGTCACATTGGCTCACGGAGAAGCTGACGACGTAGTGGTGAGATCAGATGACATTGACCTATCACACAGAGGTGAGTACGTGTTTAAGATGACTACAGCGTCGCATTACTTTTATTATTACCCTAATTAATTCATCCCAAGCGTAGGGAAATGGCTAAAAACACCAAAAAAAAAAAATTATAACACACACACAAAATGAATAAAATAAAATTGATACCTGCAAATTTCACTATAAATTTCTATTATGGGTGTATTTTGAGGGACGCTAACGTAAATTGGAAGAAACTAACAAAGACCTCTTCAATCGGCGATTTGACATGAGTTTAATCTCTTCTAAAAATTACAGCTGTATGCTAGTGAAAGGTAAAAGTGTGAAGTTAGATTTATTATTAAAACCAGTTTTTGTCAACCCATTCTGTGCTTTCGTATTAATTTGTTTGACGCCTTCTTTCAATAGTACCATTGTCACTAATCACCGAGCTTAGGTAATTGCGAGATCTAACAGTAAACATGTGTTGTATTTATTCGATCTACTCGATCGTGCTTCTAATCACTGTTCTTGGCATACATTCATTCCATTGCAAGATTTCACTCAAATATGGTCATTTGATGTTTTTATTTAGACGTACGCGCCATTGGAGACTGTGGCGGGTCTTTCTACTCTACGACTGGTGCGTTTAGTTCACCAAACTACCCTAACGGCTATTACAACAACGACGATTTATGTACGTACACTATCACCGTTGCATCTGGCTCAAGTATTCAGGTAAATCGATTTAATCGCTTCCAGGCTCTACCTCACGTGAATACCCTGTGTTTCAGTTAACGTTTACAGTGTTCCATAATTCACACTGAATATCACTGTGTTTCAGTTAACGTTTACAGTGTTCTATAATTCTCACTGTATATCACTGTTTCAGTTAACGTTTACAGTGTTCTATAATTCACACTGTATATCACTGTGTTTCAGTTAACGTTTACAGTGTTCTATAATTCACACTGTATATCACTGTGTTTCAGTTAACGTTTACAGTGTTCTATAATTCTCATTGTATATCACTGTTTCAGTTAACGTTTACAGTGTTCTATATTTCACACTGCATATCACTGTGTTTCAGTTAACGTTTACAGTGTTCTATAATTTACACTGTATATCACTGTGTTTCAGTTAACGTTTACAGTGTTCCATAATTCACACTGAATATCACTGTGTTTCAGTTAACGTTTACAGTGTTCTATAATTCTCACTGTATATCACTGTTTCAGTTAACGTTTACAGTGTTCTATAATTCACACTGTATATCACTGTGTTTCAGTTAACGTTTACAGTGTTCTATAATTCACACTGTATATCACTGTGTTTCAGTTAACGTTTACAGTGTTCTATAATTCGCATTGTATATCACTGTTTCAGTTAACGTTTACAGTGTTCTATATTTCACACTGCATATCACTGTGTTTCAGTTAACGTTTACAGTGTTCTATAATTTACACTGTATATCACTGTGTTTCAGTTAACGTTTACAGTGTTCAATAATTCACACAGTATATCACTGTGTTTCAGTTAACGTTTACAGTGTTATATATTCACACTGTATATCACTGTGTTTCAGTTAACGTTTACAGTGTTATATATTCACACTGTATATCACTGTGTTTCAGTTAACGTTTACAGTGTTATATAATTCACACTGTATATCACTGTGTTTCAGTTAACGTTTACAGTGTTATATAATTCACACTGTATATCACTGTGTTTCAGTTAACGTTTACAGTGTTCTATAATTCACACTGTATATCACTGTTCCAGTTAACGTTTACAGTGTTCTATATTCACACTGAATATCACTGTGTTTCAGTTAACGTTTACAGTGTTATATATTCACACTGAATATCACTGTGTTTCAGTTAACGTTTACAGTGTTATATAATTCACACTGTATATCACTGTGTTTCAGTTAACGTTTACAGAATTCTATAATTCACACTGTATATCACTGTTCCAGTTAACGTTTACAGTGTTCTATATTCACACTGAATATCACTGTGTTTCAGTTAACGTTTACAGTGTTATATATTCACACTGTATTTCAGTGTGTTTCAGTTAACGTTTACAGTGTTCTATAATTCACACTGTATATCACTGTGTTTCAGTTAACGTTTACAGTGTTATATAATTCACACTGTATATCACTGTGTTTCAGTTAACGTTTACAGTGTTATATAATTCACACTGTATATCACTGTGTTTCAGTTAACGTTTACAGTGTTCTATAATTCACACTGTATATCACTGTGTTTCAGTTAACGTTTACAGTGTTATATAATTCACACTGTATATCACTGTGTTTCAGTTAACGTTTACAGTGTTCTATAATTCACACTGAATATCACTGTGTTTCAGTTAACGTTTACAGTGTTCTATAATTCACACTGTATATCACTGTTTCAGTTAACGTTTACAGTGTTCTATAATTCACACTGTATATCACTGATTCAGTTAACGTTTACAGTGTTCTGTAATTCACACTGTATATCACTGTTTCAGTTAACGTTTACAGTGTTCTATAATTCACACTGTATATCACTGTGTTTCAGTTAACGTTTACAGTGTTCTATAATTCACACTGTATATCACTGTGTTTCAGTTAACGTTTACAGTGTTCTATAATTCACACTGTATATCACTGTTCCAGTTAACGTTTACAGTGTTCTATATTCACACTGAATATCACTGTATTTCAGTTAACGTTTACAGTGTTATATAATTCACACTGAATATCTCTGTGTTTCAGTTAACGTTTACAGCGTTCGATACAGAATCATATGACCACGTATACGTCTACGACGGACTGTCCACTTACAACAGTCTTCTACTGGATGCATCTGGCTCATTCGTGCCGGCGCCCGTCTTGTCGTCTGGTAATACTCTTTACGTCGTGTTTGACTCGGATAGCAGTGTTACTCATACTGGATTCTATGCAACGTATACAACTCTAGATTATGAGAGTGGTTTCGGTTCGCTAAACGGTGTGTGCGGTGGATCTCTGACTACAGACTCGGGGACATTGTCATCACCAAACTACCCTTACTCGTACAGCAGCTATTCCGACTGTTATTACAGAATATCTGTGACGTCAGGAGAAAATATACAGGTATATTTATATTTCACAGTATTTGATTATGTTGATAGTTACTTGTTTCACAGAATTGAGCAATTCAAATCTATGTTTATTGTGTCACGCGATAGAAAGTGTTTTCGGAAACGTAGTTTTCCACTGTAGCATGAACTCACGTCTATTTTATCCTTACAGTTGACATTTTCAGTGTTTTCTACTGAATCAACTTATGATTATGTGCGTGTTTATGACGGTAGTTCTACGTCATCTCCGCTGCTGGGAGAATTTTCTGGATCCAGCTTACCTTCGATGATTGTCACCACAGGCTCCGACTTACTTTTGTATTTCCATAGCGATAGTTCGGTCGAAAACACTGGTTTTTACGCATCATACACACTGGGATCTGGGTCAGTTATTTCATGTGAGTACGAACAGCAACAACAAAGACATAAAGTAATTTCGTTTTATTGTCAGAACTAAATGCATAATAGGTGAGGTAGCGCACTGTCCTCAACAAATTAAATCATTTTTCATAAGTATTAATTAATGTGACTATAAAAATATGCACATGTGACAATAACATACAACAAATGACTTTTAATACGTGAAAGGGTACTAAGACTGAGAATACAATTATACAACAGTAGCAAGGGCACGTAACTGTTACAGTTAAGTGTTTACTGTTGTTTCTCTTCTCCAGTGTGCGAGGAGGGTTACATCACTTCTTTGGGAGGTTTACTCAATTCCCACGATACATATCCGAGTGACTACGCGGCCCCGGTCACGTGTTCAGCTACTCTACAAACCTTCAGTCCGTATACTAACGTATTGGTTAAATTCCTAGACGTAGACTTGTATACAACGTCAGGTAAGGCAAAATTCTACATGTCATCATCTTCTACAATTAAACCCTGAATAGAAAAACAAATTATTCTGCTATATTAGTAAGCTATAGACCGACTGCTATATGCTGAGATCTCGGAGTGTAGTTGATGAAAATCATTCTGAATGGTCAAATTCACCTTTTTTTACATGGACTAAAATAAATCACCAACAATTTAGATAACTGACTTTGTTGATTGAGGATTATTTGAGGTAAAGTAACGTAGCGCGTCACCGTACTATATTTGTGCAGTCAGGGACACGTTTTCAAATATTGTAGACATTTTTACAGTTTTAACTTGCAAATATGAACCTTCGTATTTATGCCAGTATCGTATTTTGTGAAGGCAATTCAGTGAACGTAAATCAAGTACGCCTGACGTTGGTGGCGCTATATAAAAACAGCAATTATATTCCAGAATGCACCAGGTTTAATGTTATATGAAATATTTATAAATCTTTAATGCATTCCAAATTGCAATCTGTATCGTTCGAATACCGTTCGTTTAGAACTCCACTGTCTTATCGCAATTAACCGTTCTGTGCTAAGCGATAATCACATTTATTTCAGCTAACGGATTACTGTCATGTCATGTCTATATTACATTCATGGCAGTAAAAGAGCCAATGATTGAAGAAACCCCCGCAAGGCGTTGCCAAAATAGTTTTTACATCCAATGAAACCGCCTTTTTTTTATTTGAATGAAGCGCGGGGTTCTTTCGGGATAAATGAGTTATAACTATTTATAAATTCTCATAAAACAAATTCACGCTTTTGTGTAAACCGGTGTATTAATTTCACTTAAATAGTCAGACTATACAAATCCACGCCTTACATAACGTATGTATCTCGATCAATTGGAACAGTTCATGTATTATCCTACAATTTACGATTCACAGAATCGCCTTGCGTTGGTGACACGATCAACTTACAAGATGTCTATGGGTCCAGTATCGCCACGGTGTGTTCTAGCACGGAAGCGGGGTCAACGTATACATCTTTCAATAGTATGCAGATTACCTTCACTAGTAATGATGTACATTCTGAAGAACATCGGGGATTTCAACTCATATATTCACTCTATTACGAAGGTATCACTTGTAGCAATGAGTATCATTTACTATGTTTTCCTAATCATTTCTCTGTGTTATTTTATATTTACTTATAATCTAATTTGGTTGATACGAAGCTCAGTTATCGGGAGACAGTTCATGTGATGTAAATCAATTTGACCTTGAGCATTTTTTGCGAGGGATAACTTATCCCTATATTATGAAATTAATCATTTTTGAATACTAGTTCTACCTAACACAGCCTTGCATTCAGAGACTAAGCGTTATACCAGTAAAGACAGACTTTCATATATTCTTTCAGATTACAGTTCATCCTGTCCCCATTCTGGTGATTTCAAATGCGACAATTATAGATGTATATCGAAAGGTTTAAAATGCAATGGTTATGACAACTGTGGTGACAACTCAGACGAAGAAATGTGCGATGCAGGTGGGGTACCATATTGCTCTAAATAAATAAATAAATAAATAATAAATAATAAT